GACTGTGCCCATGAACCATGCACCATCCTCTCCAAGTATGTACCTGGAAGGTCACTTTGGTGGAGGGCTCCTCACATCAGCTGGGTCAGATTGTCAAGAAAGGGTGAGTGGATGTTGATCGCTTAGTGGCTGTTATGAGAAGTTTGACGAGGTTCCCCTGGACTGACAGACATTTCTATTAGAGTGATGAGACTTATATTGATGGGACAGTCAAGTCAGAGTGGGGAAAGGCACATGTGGGAGAAAACAAGTGTATATGTGTTGGTATAAAAAGGGGGAAGACCAACTTTAAAGTAGGGGGGGAATGACCTAATAAGCCACATTGGATCAAATTTCTCTACACACCCTGCGGACCCAGGCCAAGTGCCACTGAACAGTGGAGCAATGAACCTGGATCTTCAAGGTACACGACGCATTCCAAAGGACATACCAGAGGGATCTGATGTGGAAACTCCACTAGGTGAATTAGACTCTACCTCAAATCGACTGTAATCTGAAGACCTAAGGTTGAAATTTTAGGGTGTTTGAAGATGCAGAAGACACTGAGCGAGTAGGTCAATGGCCTACTTGCTGTATTAAGATATACATATAATATATCATATATATCTATTATGCTGGCAGACCTGTGATCATTATTCAGACATTGTCAGTGAATGTTATTGCAAATTTCACCTGACAGCTAACTCCCATTGTTTGTGCAAATAGTGTCCAGCCACATAAGGATTTATTCTGTTCATGTGAATAATGCAGGTATCATGATATGTAGTTAGCCTATACTGGTCCAATAACCCTCTCTCAACATTTTTTTAAAAATTAGTACTAGGGGCTACTCAATGACACTATTACCAGAAGGCCCTTATGCTACAGGGAGATGTTGATAAGATTTTCTACCATAAATTAACAAGGAGGGCTCCAAGGGGAACCAGAGGCAGATAAAAAACATAGCTCCAGTAGTGGATTTTGGCTTGAACTAAAGCCTTGCTCCAATTTAAGAACAATTAATTCTTACAAATGACCCTACTTGATACCTGCCCTGCTCTCAGGAAGGAAACACGATATGAGTGCTATAGCAAAATAGGGTGAAGAAATTAGATGGTGTCTGGCTATCAGATAGAATAGTGTCTGGGGTCTTAAAGGCTTGTCTCCAAACAAGTAGCCATCTAAGCGAGATGTCAACTAAGTACACAGGAAAGAAACAATAAGATATCAGACGGATATTGGCTAAAAGAAGAGAATACTAGACAGATGTTTGCTTGTATTTTATTGATTATGTCAAGGCATTCAACTGTATGGATCATAACAAACTAGGGAAAGTCTGGGGAAGAATGGAAATTCCAGAATACTTCACTATGCTCATGCAGAACTTGGACATGCATCAGGAGGCAGTTGTATGAAAAGAACAAGGGCACTGAGATAGTTAAAGTTTATTGTGCCAACCTGGTCCATAAACACATGTGGGGTTAATTGAAAGGCAGAGAGATAAATGGCTCTGTGAGCCTCACCTTTTGAGTTCTTGGGTCTTTTGCTTTCTGGTGGTCAGTCCAAGGTGCACCTGCCCTAGCCAGTCCCCTGCTTCAGCTGGCAAGGCTGACTTCCTGCAAGACATCCCCCAGGAGAAGTCGCATGGACCTACCCCAATGCAGCCCTGGGTGATGGGGCAGCCATGTGGAGACCCCTGCCAGAGCTGAGATGCTGACACATTCACTGATTCAGCTTTCCTCCTGCAGTCGGCATCATTGTGTGTGTTTTGTGAGATGGAGGAGGACTTTGTGGATTAGTGTTGGACATATGGGCTAATGTTGGACTTGTGGGCTTGGGCAGCACTGGTTTGGGATGCTTTCTTGATGTGCACTTATCCTTTATATAAAACTCTCTCTTATAAATATGAGTTTCTGTGGATTTGTTTCTCTAATGTACTCAGACTAACACAGATGTAATGCATGGTTTAAAATAAGGAAAGGTATGTGTCAGGTTTATATCCTCTCACCATATTTAGTCAAACTATATGCGGAGCAAATAATCAGAGAAACTGGATAAAATGAAGAGGAGTGTACATCAGGATTGGAGAAAGACTTATTAACAACTTGAGATATGCAAATGACACAACCTTGCTTGCTGAACGGGAGGAGGACTTGAAAAACTTGCTGATGAAGATCAAGGATTACAGCTTTCAAAGAAAACCAAAATCCACATCACTGCACCAATAGGTAACCCCATGATAAACAGCAAAAAGATTAAAATTGTCGAATATTTCATCTTGCTTGGATCCACAATCAATGTTCATGGAAGTAGCACTCAAGAGGTGAAACTACTTGTTTCATTGTGTAAATATCTACACAAAGGTCTTTTTAGAATATTCAAAAACAGTGAGGTTACAGTAAGAACTCAGGTGTGCCTGACTGAAGCCAGGGAAATTTCAATCAATTCCTATACACTTTAAAGTTGGACACTGAATAAGGGCGATGAAAAAAAAATCAATGCATTTGAATTATGGTGCTGGTGAACAATTTCGAAACTCCCATGGACTGAGCAAAAAATATTGAAAGTACCATGGACTATCCAAATAACAAACAACTTTGTCTTGGAAGAAGTACAACCAAAATGGTCCTTAAAAGTGATGATGAATGTTTAGAAAATAATGTCAATATATGTACAAATGTGCTTGATACAATTGATGTATGGAATGTTATAAGAGCTGTAAGAGCCCTTGATCAAAATAAATAAATAAGTGAAGTAAAGTAAAATAAGTTAAGTAAAACAAATAAATAAGTGAAGATGGGGAGACTTCATCTTACAAACTTTGGATCTGTTGCCAGAAAAGACCAGCCCCTGGAAAAGGACACCATTCTGGGTAAAGTAAAGGGGCAGAGAAACAAAGGCCTTCACCGAGAGGAAGTGACACAGTGACTGCAACACTGGGCGCAAGCACAGGAATGATTCTATGGCTGGGGCAGGAGCAGGCAGCGTTTTGTTCTGTTGTGCATAAGGTCGCTGTGGGTGGGAACTGACTGAAGGGCACCTCACAACAACACGGCAGTGTGTTTGATGAGAATATGATGTTTTTCTACATCTATTAGGCAAGAATTGCTAAGACTATTCCTAAGCAACACAAAGAGAACAATTGAGCTAAAAGTATATATATATATATTTGTACTGTTCACCTGTATCCCAAATTCCCTCTTGCTCAATTATCTGAGTATCAAAGCAGATGGATGACTGAATTGATCTAAATTTGGGCAAAGGAAATCATGCTTGGTAAACTAGAAGAGCAGCACTAAAGAGAAAGACCTTCCACTAGATGAACTGACACCGTGGTTGCAATAATGGGCATAGAGACAACAATGACAAGGGTGGTGCAGGGCCCACCAGTGTTCTGTTCTTTTGTGTTTAGGGTCTCTAATAGTCAGAACCAGCAAGATGACATCTAACAAAAACAACAAAGAGGGAGATATCATAGGAATAAAAAACAAAACAGGGTAAGAGCAAGGATTTTGAAAGAAATTATAGAAAATAAATCTGGAGTTTTCATTAAAAAAAGAAACTAAAGGCATTAAAGGTTAATAGATGTGTAGGGGGTGAAAGAAGAACTTCTTTTTATATATAATAAAAGCTATAAAAAGAAAGTCTTTAAATATCAAGCAATCAGTAAAATATGTATATTATCAAAAAAATATGTATATTATCATTGCAATAATTTATGTATCCTTTTCCTATATTTTCTCTTAAAGTGTAAATTATAGCTTCTGGACTTCTTTCTACTACAATAGCTTTTGAAACCTGTTAACTATTGAACTTTGCCCATTTTCACTGTTTTAAGTTAGATTAAGATTCATTCTCTCAGAAAGAAAATTATAAGATATTTTCATATTCTTGAAAAATTTTCTGTTTGCTTAGAAAAGTAACACACAATACAATAAAAGAATCAAATCTGCCTGGTAAGTCGTGTGATATAAGCATACAAGCAATAAAAAGGTAGACTATTTGGAAAAGTCTTCTTAAAAGATTTAAAGGGAAGACTAGTCTTTTTTTTTAAATCATTTTATTGGGAGCTTGTACAACTCTATCACAATCCAAACATACATGCATTGTGTCAAGCACATTTGTACATTTGTTGCCTTCATCATTCTCAAAACATTTGCTTTCTACTTGAGCTCTTGGTATCAGCCCCTCATTTTTCCCCTCTCTCCCCATCCCCCCTCCTTCACGAACCCTTGATAATTTTTAAATTATTATTATTTTGTCATGTCTTACACTGTCCGACGTCTCCCTTCACCCACTTTTCTGTTGTCTATCCCCAGGGAGGGGGTCATATGTAGGTCCTTGTGAAAGGTTCCCCCTTTCTACCTCACCTTCCCTCCTCCCTCCTGGTATCACCACTCTCACCACGGGTCCTGAGGGTTTATCTGTCCTGGATTCCCTGTGTTTCCAGTTGGAAGACTAGTCTTTCATGACAAAGGAGATGCATATTTGTGCAAAATGAGCATGGGCAACTCATTTAGGATCCAAACTGACAGAGAGAATGGTATGCAAGAGATTTTTACTGTAGATTCCCTTAATAACCAGGGAATGACAACAAACTGAGAGATTCGGACCAGATTGTGAAACATTTAGGACATTTTTGCTGAGACTGAGGAGCAGCAGAAAGAAATCACAGAGTAACCTGGATGTTCAGTAATGAGGACAATATAGAAATGCCAGTCAGCTTGAGTTACGGACTCGAGGAGAAAAGAAGCATGTAGACTCTTGTAGGGTACCGGGCAAGAATATAAGCCCTGGTATAAAGAGGTAAGAATCAGTGTGGCTGCACATTAACCTCAAAAACAGATGGGTTATCAACAGTTATCATTACAGTACATAATTGAATTCTATAGGACAATATCTTGGATCACTAGCAAAGGTGATCTAATGTGCCATGCTACTAAAAACTATTAAAAGTAAGTTATTTTTATTAATACTTTTTTATCACTTGTTAATGTACATAATGAAGAAAGAACATTTACCACAATGCTTTGAATGTCTCAACATTTCATTGGCTCTCATGTTCTCACATAATTCAAAGTAGTGAACGCACTGCTGAACTGCGGCAGTTATCTGATAAAATAATAATATCTTATTAATTTCAGAAATTTGCAGCATGCAAGTCCAAGCATTAAAATAAACTGCCATGGTCTTAAAATTTATTTCCAAAAAACTGAAGAAAAAGATTTAGAATAAGACCTTTCCAGGCCACTAAAGCTCAGTCTCTCCAGTTTATATGCATGCTAGCTCTATGGACAGTGCTGCTGGGAAGCTAGAGGGGAAGCTTCAGTAAGTAACTCAGTCTAGTCATTTTTCAGCAAGTTGCTATGACTCGAGTCCTTCCACAAGGATCTCCTATAGCCAGAAAATCAAAGCAATGGAGCGCCCCAAAGTTCTTGCCACAGATGCACAAAATTAGCCCTTCATTCTGTAAAGTAGCAATAGTATAGCTTCCATCTCTTTTCCCCACATTTCTTCTCAAAAGCATAATCAAGATTACTTTAAAAAATAAATATAAGAGAAATTATCTTTCAATATTCTGCGAATTCAGACTGACATTGAGGTTCATAGAAAGCTTTTTGGCAAAAAGGAAGCTTAAGCTGAGATCTCAAGCAAATGTGACTAGATAAAGGACAGGACCGAATTAGTAATACACGAAGTGATTTATAATAAAATAACTCTATGGGCATGGCTAAAACGCTATTTTCATAAAAGTTAACTTTTCAAAAAGAAGAAACTGATTTTTAGAGTTAACCTAAAAAAAAACATATTTCAAATATTTCAACTGGGGCTTCTGTTATAGCAGCAATCACTTATTATCCATTATCCAGCCACCACAGGAAAAACTCACCCAGTCTTTCCCCAGCCCCTCTCTCTACCTAGATCAGCCTATGGTCATATGTCGGGAGAGGGGGGGAGTGAATCCATTAAAGTAGGAATGGGAAAGAAACGAGATGTGGAAATAGTTTATTTCAATTCAGTTTTTCTGAATATTTTTAAACACATGTTACCTCTCCAAGTAAATTCCCATCCTATTTTTGATATTCTTCCCTTCTCCTACTCCATTCTTTCAATCCTCACACACAAAGCAAGTATTGTTCGCCTTCTTTCATTTTCTGCACTGCTGCACTCATCCAAAGCACACAGGTCTAAGAATCTGTCCGCGCACTGAGCTTCTAAACTTAAGACTCTTTCTAACTATGTAAACTGCATTTCTCATTTCAAATTTGCATGACTATCACTTTTTTAATGTTTTAATAAATGGCATCCTTTTGGGTGCTTGTCAAGAGTTATTTCTGAGACTTGCTGATATCTTTTCCATGTCTCTCTGGGCTTGCACATTGTTCCCTAGTAGTAATAAATGCAGATCATTTCACTAAAATATTTTACAGGTTTAGCCTGTATTTGTTGAAACTCAACCCAATTTTCACAGATGTGAAATAATTTGTAATTCAGAACGGTTTTCTTGTAAGCTTCACTCAAAATCATGGTACTTTTATGAAACTCAATCCTCTATAAACATATGATCTGAATCAAATTACTTTTAAAGCCCATTATTTGTAACATCCCATATTTTTTACTATATATTTATATATTTCTTAACTACTGTCCTGACTGCATTGTAAGACTCTGTTTTTATCATTTTGTTTCAGAAGTTGGTGGTTTAAAAATTACATGACAGGGGAATGGCTTCATTATGGAATATTCATCACTACCACACAGCATTACAAATTCTATTAATTACATCTTATCTCTTTTATGGTATGACTTCACAACATAGGAATAGAAGTACAGACTTACCAGAGATTTATATTTCTTTTCAAGAAGTCTTAGTAGTATAGTTCTACTATAATATGCATGCTAAAATTAGGAAGAAATGGCATTTGATTTAATATTCATGCTATACCATTTAAAATCGCTTTGCTCTATATCTTTTCCAGTAACTACATCATTAATTACACAGTAAGTTGGTTTTAAATTATTGTGGTTTCATTTACAAAGTTTAAGATGAATTTATTTTGATCAGCACCAGACAGGTCTTCTATGTGGATTAGATTAGAACCATAGCAATCACAAGAATGCAAGTTATGCCAAAGAACATGTGTATCACTTAATGATGGACCTGTAGAAAAACATTCCACCCTTCAACTGTGTCAAATTTCCACACCTATGTTAAAACTGGCACCAAACAAGCTTCGCTGACTACCACTGTATGACAGGAGCCAAAGCAAAGTGCATAAGTGGGAAAATATCACAACTTTTATGCTGACAATTTCGTCTACATGTGGGGAAATGTGCCAAGGTTTGAAACGCTCCAAAGGGACAAAATTCTAATAATTTCCTGCCAATCATTTTGAAATATGCTTCAAAGTGCCCCAAATTAAAATACAACTTTTATGCATTGTGCACAGCCAAGGGGAAGATATACATTAACCTTATTTATCTCAATTACAATAAGTATCAGTCACGGCCATCATTTTACTTAGGAGCAAAAAATAAGTGTTACAAAGACAAGGGCACAGAAAACTATCAAAATTCTGAAGGGCAATCTTTATATTAATTAAAGCAAGGTTTGGGGCCCTTTAGCGTTAATAAAAAAATGTATGGATTTTAACCCTTGTAACTTAAATTATTACCCCAAACCCATTAACCTCTTTTTCAGCTTAATAAGAAAAATATGTTAACCTACATTTAAACTATTTTGTTTTAATATTGATGATGTTAGAAGAAGAATCTGAACAGAACATGCCTTATGCCAGAGTCGGCAAAATGGCCCTCATGGCAAATTCAGCCAGCCAATTTGATTTTTTGCCAACGAAGTATTATTGGAACACAGTCACACCTGTCATTTGCATATTAGTGGTTTGTACTTTTCAGCTACAACCAAACAGTTGAATGGTTGTGATGGAAATGGCCCACAAAGGCAAAACATTTACTATCTTTCCCTGTATATTAATAAAAGTATGTCAATTCCTCCCTTAGACGCAAAGAAAGCATAGGAGAATGTGATTAATTTGTATCAATATGGCGGATGATCCCTTCAGGACCAGTGGCGTGAGTGGCAATACTGGGAGGGTAGAGGGAGAGTGGGTTGGAAAGAGGGAACTGAATACAAGGATCTATATGTGACCTCCTCCCTGGGGGACGGACAACAGAAAAGTAGGTGAAGGGAGACGTCAGACAGGGCAGGATATGACAAAATAAACAATTTCTAAATTATCAAAGGCTCATGAGGGAAGAAGGAGCGGGGGGGGAGGGGAAAAAAATGAGGACCTGATGCCAGGGGGTTAAGTGGAGAGCAAATGTTTTGAGAATGACGAGGGCAATGAATGTACAAATGTGTTTACAAAATTGTTTTATGTATGGATTGTGATGAGTCGTATGTGACCCTAATAAAACGATTAAAAATAATAATAATTTAAAAATAAATTTAAAATATGCAGAGCAAAAAAAAAAAGAAAAAAAATATTTGTATTAATACTAGAATACGCTTGGGGAGTTAACTTTTTAATAATTTTTTCTTGGCAAGTTTTTAGAAGCTCTATCTCATTCTCTTAAAAGTCAAGTACCTTTGATAAATTTCAGTGAAAAAAGTTATTTACAAACAATTTAGCCAAATTTTTGTCAATAAATACTTGAACAGATACATTTTAAAATATATTTAAGAAATAAAACTACATAAAACAAAATCTTAATAGCAGTTATCGGTCTATCTAGATAACATAGACAGAATAAACAATCTGGAGGAGAAAACAAAGGGAACAAGAGTTCCAGGGAGGCATGGGAGAGGGAGGTGGGGGAAAGGAAGTGTGTGTTAACAATGTAGGGACAAGGGAACAATAAGTGATCCAAAATCGATGGCAAGGAGGGTGTAGGAGGTCTGGTAGGGCTTGATCAAGGGCAATCTAACCAAGAGGAATCGCTGAAACCCAAATGAAGGCTGAATATGATAGTGGGACAAGTGGAAAGTAAATGGAAATAGAGGAAAGAGCTAGGAGTCAAAGGGCATTTATAGAGGTCTAACTGCAGGCATGTACATATGTAAATATATTTATCTATGAGGATATGGAAGTGGATGGATGTGCATATATTTATATATGTATATATGTAAATGTATTTATCTATGTACATATGTAATTTTTATATTACATGACATTTATATATGTACATATGTAAATATATTTTATTTGTACATATGTAAATATATTTATCTATGAGGATGCGGAAGTGGATCGATGTGCATATATTTGGTATTGGGGTGGCAGATGGACATTGGGCATCCACTTAAGTATTCCCTCAAGGCAAGAACACTTTGTTCTATTAAACTGGCATTCCATGATGCTCACCTTCATGACAGGATCACAGAAGACAAAGCAGGTGCATAAGCAAATGTGGTGAAGAAAGCTGATGGTGCCCAGCTATCAAATGATATAGCAACTAGAGTCTTAAAGGCTTGAAGGTAAACAAGCGGCTATCTAATTCAGAAGCAACAAAGCCCACATGGAAGAAGCACACCAGCCTGCATGCTCACGATGTGCCGAAGGGATCAGTTATCAGGCATCAAAGAACAAAAAATCTTATCATTGTATGCTTACCTCCCTGGCACGATCGCTGAAGACAAATGGGTGCATAAGCAAATGTGGTGAAGAAAGCTGATGGGGCCTGGCTATCAAAAGATATATTCTGGGGTCTTAAAGGACTGAAGGTAAACAAGCGGCCATCTAGCTCAGAAGCAACAAGGCCCACATGTAAGAAGCACACCAGCTTTTGCGATCACAAGGTGTCGAAGGGATCAGGTATCAGGCATCATCAGAACAAAAAATCCTATCATTGTGAATGAGGGGGAGTGCCAGGTGGAGAGCCAAGGCCCATCTGTAGGCAACTGGACATCCCCTTGCAGAAGGGTTTCGGGTAGGAGATGAGCCAGTCAGGGTGCAGTGTAGCAACGATGAAACATACAACTTTCCTCTAGTTCCTAAATGCTTCCTCCCCACCCACTATCATGATCCCAATTTTACCTTACAAATCTGGCTAGACCAGAGGATGTACACTGGCATGGATAGGAACTGGAAACACAGGAAATCCAGGGTGGATGATCCCTTTGGGACCAGTGGTGAGAGTAGCAATACCAGGAGGGTGGAAGGAGGGTGGGGCAGAAAGGGAGAACCGATTACAAGATCTACATATAACCTCCTCCCTGGGGGACGGACAACAGAAAAGTGGGTGAAGGGAGACATCAGACAGGACAAGATATGACAAAATAATAATTTATAAATTATCAAGGATTCATAAGGGAGGGGGGAGAAGGGCGGGAGGGAGAAAATGAGGAGCTGATACCAAGGTCTTTAAGTGGAGAGCAAATGTTTTGAGAGGGTGATGAATGTACGGATGTGATTTACACAGTTATGTATATGTATGGGTTGTGATAAGAATTGTATGAGCCCCTAATAAAATGATTTTTAAATAAAAGAATTATGATGGCCACAAATGTACAAATGTGCTTGACACAATGGATGGATGGATGTATTTTGATAAGAGTTGTACGAGCCTCCAATAAAAGTATTTAATTAAAAAAATAGTGATTATCTCTATTTGGTACAATAAGATTTAAGTTTATTTGATCTTTTCATGTTGTATATTTTCTATAAAATGCCACTATTTGGTAATCAAGAAAGAAGTTAGTAAGAAAAGTAGTGTCAGAAATTATGAAAAACACATTCTGAATAAATCAATTCAATTCAGCAAATACTTATACAGACAGGCCAGAATTGTGTTCTAGGTAAATAAGCATTTATTATACCATTCAGATTGTTATACATTGTATTATACATTATTTCCATCTACTTATTAATTTAAATGTATGAACTAAAGAAAACTAGGTTTGGTGTAGGTCATTCAGCAAATGCACTGTCATTTAAAATTCTATTCTCACTATGCCACTTACTATGTTAATAAACTTGGCCAGCCTAATGGCAACCTTGTGCTTCAATTGCTGCAGAGTAAAATGCAGCTTAGTGGTACGGACAATAATGCCACTAATGTCAATTTTTTTATTCAAGAATAAATGGACACCTAGGAAATCAAATAAAAATCTTTAACACTCAATAAATGTTAGTTATTTTAAAATCCATATAGCAATACAATAGGTATAAAAGACATTGCATTTTTTCCTTACCATCCACTTTTTGAACCACACAGCCTTGGCATCGACTAATGCAAGAAAGTAAATTGGATCCAAAATCTTTTGGGAGACCAGATGGCTTTGATTATGCTTAACTGATAACAATGACAAAGTGCTCTCCACGATTTCCTCCATATACCTTAAAGTTTGGAAAATAAAGAATTTAAGAAACAAAACAGTGCATGCTTTATACAATACTGGTGATATAGTGTATATTTGTGGAATTTAAAGAGACTGTTTAAAAACAATATTCACTATTTCAGTTAATGACAAAATGCCCAATTATTTTCTGTCTTAAAAAAACATATATTCTTTCTATTATATCACTGGCTCTCCAATTATAACTTTCTCTGTTAGATTCTCTTACTTTATTACAAATTTTAAGAATTGAAAAGGCAAGGACTAAAGAACTTTGAAGAACTGTGTCCAAAGTAGCAAAGACTAGTGAAAGATTCTGAGGCTAAAACATCCTTTTTTTATCATCCTGTTAGGTAAGCATTGGATTGCTAACCACAAAGTCAGTGGTTAAAACACAACTGTTGATCTGGGGGGGAAAGTTGAGGCTATTTTCTCCCCAAAAGATTTACAACCTCAGAAAACTTTTACTGGGTTGTTGTGAGTCAGAATCAACCCAACAAGAGTAGGTGTGATCAATGATATGAAGTGGTACTTGTACACACATAGAGCCATCCACATAGCTCTATTCAAGACAAGAATGCTGAAGAAAAAGAGCTTTATTAATCTCTTCCTCTTCTTCTAAATCAAATAAGACTGCCTCTAATGGTTTTTCCTCTCTGAAAAGTATGCGAGCATATTTCATGAAGTCATAAATCAAGCATACTTACTTTTCTGGATGACGAATCCAGAAAGATGGCACCTCTTTCTGATATTCATTTAGAAGACGAACCTATAATATATTAGTGGTCAACAGATTTCAGGAAATTAGAATTCTTAATTGCAGAACTGCTCAACTAAAACTAAAAGGATATTATAAAAAATGAGTACCTTTTTAAGTAAACGGGTCACATTCGGATTAGTAATATCTATACCAGTTAAAAGAGTAGGAATATGATTTTCTCTAGAAAGAAAATATAACTCCAGATGCTTAGCTAAAAAGAAAAAAAAAGATACAAAGTACATCATAAGTACCTATGACGAGAAAAAAAGCATTTTAGTAGATGATTTTATAAACATACATACCTAAGCTTGTGTAAATTTCTTTAGTCATGTGTAACGGTGAAAGTGTAAATGTCTGTGCATAAAATTTTAAGATCCGGTCCTATGAAAATACAATAGATTTGCATCTAAGACTCTTACAAGAATAGAAACACGATACAAGAAACATCTTTCGCATTGTAAAACTCCTAGAAAATAAACCTTCAGAAACCAGAGTAGAAACGTACCTATAAAAAGAAGCACTTTTTAAAAAACTGTTTTTGTGAATTAGGTGAAGGTTTACAAAGCAGATGATCAGTTTTACATTCAACAATTGATACTCATTCTGTCATCCAACGTAATCCCTCAATGTGAGTGGCTGACTCTGATTGCTCCCTGCGTTTCCGGTTTCCATCCCCCTCCTTTCCTAACCGTACTTCGTCCTCGCTAAAGGCTCTCCCGTAGATCTGAAATGGTCGGTGATTTTACTATGGAGTGAGCTCAGTTCCAGACCGGACCTGAAGGGTGACTAAAGGTCACTGTCTTGGTGATTCCACCAGAATCTGGTTTGGGTCTGCAAAACCTAAAACTGGCTGCAAATAATAGTAAAAATAATCGTAATCTAATAAATAGTAAGTTTAATATATTATTAAAATTTGTTTTCAGTAAATGTATTGACACTGAGAGAGAGGAAGGTAAGATTTAGATATTGGAAATAGCCATCTAAAAGGGTCAATAAACAAAGGAATAAGGATGTCAATGCTAAATTTGAAAAGCCATTCCAAACGCGAGGTTTATTTACTTACTTCCTTGCTTTTTAATTGTTTATGTGGGTAGTTTCAGTAATTAGATATTTAGAACTCTCCAACCATGCTGCCTGTTTTCAAGAATAGCATTACAAATGTATGCATCCTGAATTTTTTACATTATTAAAACTCAAAAGTATAAATTATTACAAACTAAATGACATAACACATGTAAAACAGAATAGAGTCTGGCACTAGTTTGGTTTCAAAAATATAATTTAAACTATAATAATAATAATATTTTTAAGTTGGTATAATTTAAACTATAATAATAATAATACCAACTTTAACACTGAAAACAAATGAATCCTACTATTAAAATCTGACTTTCAATTAAATAAAAATAATATAAAACTGCACCAAAATTTCTATTCTGGAAAAAAATATATATCAATTAACAAGCCGGCTTTTATAAAATATTGAGATAATATGCTTGCAAGAAATGATTCCTCAACCAACTAAAGATCCCTTCTAAAAACCTCAGGAGATTCCAGAATGCTCAGTATCCTCTGCAAGTCTTTACACAGTTGCAGCAATTGAAAACTATCCATCCCCACACTTTTCAACCACTACAGGCTTCATTCAGTTACATGGAATAAATAATCCCTTAGAGTAGGAAATGTTGAAATCGAATCAAAGTCAAAATGCATTTGGATCAAACACACGTCAGACATGAAAGGAACGCCACATCTTGTTTTCGTTTCCAAAATGCTTAATAAAATGTTTTTCAATTTTATTAACTTAATGACATGGCCATCTACTTCATAAGTATCTGCCATGACTAAATAAATCCTAGTTCATCTCACTATACTTACAAAGTTGTTACTTAAATTTTAAAATACATTTTAAGAGCTTATTAGGTCAACATTCTGCCTTTGTCAAGAATGGGGAAAAAACGGGGAAACTTGTAACTTTCTCTTGCTAGAGAGCATCATAAAAGTTAAAGTTGACCCAACAGTAGCCTTTCCTCCCTTGAAGTTCTTAGCTCACTGAATTTTTAGAGAAGTCTGCACCACCCTCTGGTGTTTGTATGTTTGAACTGCAAGTAAGTGTTACGTAATTACACACCTACTTGCCCTGTGATTAAGCTAGTGGTTGCTAACTGAAAACAGGATGACTGAAACCCATCAGCTGCTCCATGAGAAAAAACTTCAGTAGTCTGTTTCCATAGAGACAAAAGCCCTGGAAACCCTATGAGGCAAACTACTCTTTCTTATGGGGTCTCATTCGTCACCCTTACATAAATAACAAACAGTATTTCCCAAATTACTCTTTTTACCAATGTAATTATAACTTCTTGATAAGAGTGTGATGTTACAGGCCTGTCTGGATAGGACAGGCTGGATGAACAATCTGGAGGAGAAAACAACGGGACTGACAGTTCCGGGGGGACATGGGAGAGGGGGAGGAGGGGGGA